TTTTTTTTTTTTTTTTCATTTTATTTTATCTTTTTCTTATTTTCAATCGCAGGAATGCTCCGAATACTGGCTAACCTTGTAAAATCGCTCCAAATCATTCAAAATTGTTTCTCAATCATTCCATTCTGTTTCCTTTCGCTCTGACACCGTTTACGCAACTGCTTTAAAAAAAATGGATTTCGTTAGTTGTTCGTTGAGCAAAAGTTTGCTAAATTTTAGCTAAAAATTACTGCACTACCGCCAATGGTGGATTATGCTGTACCGGCCGTGCTCGAATTATACCCGCCAGACGCCTGAATGGCAATTGAAGATGATAGTAAGCGCAATATGGCAATGGATCCCAATAAGCGAAGAGAGCTTCCCGCTTGTCGAGCACGGTGCCTAATAGATGAGGAACGGTTTCTCCCACTGATCGTTTCAGTGCATAAGACACTGCGTCCGATAATATATGCCTGTCTGACATAGTCGAGATTCCCGAATTCTGTCTGGAGAAGTGTCGACAAGGTTTCCATACTAATCGAGGATGGATTCCCGTATGACAGATGTACGGCAAGCTAACACCTACTCGACAGCCAATTGGTACTAATTCTCCTTCCTCTGTTACTGCGAGTCTAAAGCTCAAGTGTCCGTTGATTCCAGTGCTAAACGAACGAGCGAAAAATCTGTCCAGCCACTGCACTATTTCCGGATGTTCTTCAGGTATGAAGCCTCGTTCCTCGTCCACGAAGCAAGTCACGTTGGCCACGATCTTCGACTCTTTCACCGTAGTACAAGTGATGTAATGTTTGCCGCTAGGATCACGTATTACTATCCAAGGTTTATTCTCATTGATCTCGTACTGCTGGTTTCTGAACTCCCTTATGGTCGGCGGCAGAATTATCTTGCCTCGATCTCTCATGCCGGCCGGACCCGCGGCCAATATCAAGTATCTTCCAGTAGAAAACGCATTCTGTTCGTACATTCTCGTGACATCTTGCACGGAGCGTAAAACAGTATGGCAGGGAGTCAATAAACCCAGCGTTTGACATCTTTGCAATAGTTCTAGGGGATCATCCAGGGCTGTCACTTCACTGGCACTGGGCACGAAACACTCACAACCCATTACCTCCAGATAAGGTTTCGCCAGAGCATCGTAATAGGCTGTATTACTAGCACTCACCGGAATATAATAGACAGCCTTCTCTTTCTGAACGATGTCCTTCAAAGCTTTGATGTACTCGATTACATTTCCCGGCCCTGGTTTTGGAATCGTGTAGAACTTGGAGCACGCAGTCGAAAACTTGGCCAAGCCAAACGAACCCTCCAACTCGCAAATCACCACTCTGGCTCCTGCCTTGTAGAAATTTCGCGCTAGGTGGACCGCCTGTACCGTGCTTCCACCGCTGATAAGAACACAGCGTTTGCTACGAATCCTCTTCGAAGCTGGCGTATAGAGCACGGTCAGGAACCACTTGAAAGTGGTCAAGGGAAATTGGAAAATTAGCCATAGCATATAAATCCAAATGGATGCGCAAAGCGCCGGCGCCCAAATCGCGTAACTTATCAGACTGATGATACTTTGAAGTGCTCCGTATAATGCATCTATATAGACCGAGAAAATTCTTAGTAACAACGAATCGTTTCGATTGTGATTCTGTCCTTGTGCTGACTGGGGCTGATAGCTTAATTGTAACGTCTGTTGCTGTTGATGTTGCTGTCGTCTCGGTGAAAATATCACAGTACCAGAAGTACCCGAATTGTGCGATGATTGGGAGATGTTTGATACATTGGAATGATTAGAAACGTTCGACATAGATCGTTTTAGAGTTGATATCGGCGATATCAAGGGAGGTGAGGTAGACAGTGGTGAACTTGGTATCGGGGGAGACACGCTGTTGCTTCTGGAAATCGGCGGGCTCGAAGACCAATATCTCGAGACGTTTTCGCTGGTGCAAGCTGGCATTTTTCCTTTTGCCTTCCTTTTCTGCGATTATTATCAAGTGTAAAGGTATCAAGATCGGTCCGATCCCATCTCGTGAATAGATTGTCTTTTGAAAAACGAGTTCATAACTTCATCTTGAACAAAAAAAAAAAAAAAAGAAAAAAAAACGTCGACTCGACTTAAACTTTATATCCAGAGAAATATCAATAAAAAATTAAATATCTCCGATATTTAATTCAAGAAACGAGCAAGCAATACGCAAGCATTTAGAGCACAGAATCCGATCGAAAAAGAACTTGTATGAGGCACGTGTACTTATGTTACTCGCGAAGTGCACGCTGATCTTTCAGCTTAAATTTTTCTCGCGATTTGCTAACGAATTCGCCGGTATGCATACACAGCTTTAACTGAGGCTGGTCCTCCGGTCTCTTGGTCTCTTATGCGCTCTGCATCTCGGACGCACTATGAACCGAGGTTTTATCTAATCGTGCAGCCTCAGACATCGCGAAAAGAAGACATCGTGAAAGAAGGAATCGAGTCCTCGCTCTGATCAACGTCTCGTCTTTTTATTTCTTTTCTGCCTTTTTTTTCTTTTTATTATTAATGTTGCTAAAAAAGCAATTCTAGAAAATATCACCATAATATAGTGATTAAACTTTCAATTATAAACTAATTGTTTATAAACATAATAGAAAGGAAACGATGAGTTTCGAATATCTATGAAATAAATTTCATATTTTTTTTTCTTATTATTTTATATTTTATATTTTTTTTACTAATAATTTAATTTAATTATTTTTGGTGTTTTGAATTTTATATACAAAAGAATAAGTATAATACATTATAGAGTGTTCGAGCAAATTTAAGTATTTGTTTCGTTTCTTGTCTTTCTTACAAAACTTGCTGAAAGAAAGACAAGACTGAGAAAAATTATTTTCTTTTGAAAGAAAGAAGAAACACAAACTCTTGAAATTAATACTTTGAGTTAGAAATAGTTTGCAGAAACGAGTAGAACTTCTTACGATTGAAAAAATACATTTACGAAGATATATTATCTTGAAAATCTTGAAAATCTTTTAACAACTCAACAATTTATAATAGCAAATCCTAATAATGTAAAAATAATGAAAGACAGTATAGAAGAGAAAGTTTCTTACAATATTGGTAATTTGATTTATCATTATCAATATTATAACATAATGATTATAGAAATAAATAATTTTTCGTTTTGTTTCAGAATTGGATCATCCCCAAATGAATAAAGAAGCTCAGCTTATTATATATAAGTAAAATAAAAGTTAAAACTTATTATATATAAGTTTATATAAAAGTTAAAACTTATTATATATGAGTAAAAGTTCCATCAACTAAGAAACATGAGTCCCGTTGTAAAGGATTGTGAGCTGTGATTTTGAAATAAATGCTAATTTTTTAGATTACTTTCTATTTAAAAATTAAGTGGGTACGATAATAAAATAAATTTCTTACAACTTTTCTGGCCCATTTAATATAATTATACTATCACAATCTACTATACAATATTTTTCAAATACCAACTAACAATACAATAAAACTAACTACATACAACATAATATACTCATCATGAGTATGATTGTATGTATACATGTATGTAATTCCTATGTGCTCGTGGGAAACGTATACACGCATATGCACAGAATAAGACGCATATACACGGCTTCAATGTCATACATACCAGTATTTGACACTGGTTGTTATTAGAATTTTTCACATATTTTCTAAGTTTTACTTATCGTGTATCTCTAAATAATTAATGTTTTTTCATATTGTTTTATACATTTCTATGTATGTACAATTTGGGGTCAAATTATATGATGCACATATATTTTCATTGATCTAATAGACTTACAAAAAAACTAATTTAAAACATTAATTTTATGTGACATCATAAAATTATCAATTCTGCTTTTTCTAATGCTTAAAAAAATATAATTTGGAGATATATTTCATAATTGTAACAAAATGACATCTTATAACAGTCTCTTGAGAAGTCATTCGATCGTTAAAATTCTGTCTATATTAAATGATAGTTTCTTTTATTAAACTAAATACAAAAATGGAATTAAAAAAGGCAAAGAAAGCCACAGTTGTAGTGAAAAATAAAATCATTGTACATACATAAGAGAAAAAGTAATATTGTCAAATTAATTTTATTTTCATATTATATAGCGATAATAAAATTTAACCGATAATATGTTCCAATAATCTATGAGATTATATATAAGTTTAACGCTTAATTTCATCTTTTTTTTCTGGATATGATGTAGAATAATAACAGCATAATTTCGAGTACATTTTGAAATAGAACATAATTCCGATACTTTGTAATAAAATACACAATAAATTATACATAAGTCTATCTATTTCGTAATGTATGTGGTATACAAACACTGATATAACGAGAAAATAATTATATATAATACTGTTCCAAATTATAAAATAAAATTTCATATAACGAAAGCAAGTTTAGGAGGTATCCAATATATATATATATATATATGACTAGAAATTATACTATAATTATATAAATTGATTCCTCTTAACAAAATGATATATACTTTCTTATAATAAAATTCATTCTGCTTCTAACAATTTTAGTTCATTGCATATCACTTGCAGTTATTTTAAAAAGATAAATAACAGTAAAAAATTCTTTTCAAAATTAATTTCTACATTTGTTGATTAGAATTAATTGCAAGCATTCCAATTCCATTGTAAAACTAAATGTAAGCTTTGTTTTTTGTATAAGTAGGAGTACAAAAGTAAAGATAGTTGGCAATGTTTTATTAGAACTGGCATGTAATAATGACACACAGATATTATTTGCATATGATACGTGGGTAACTCTTTTTATGCGCCAGCATAATTAAGAGATTCAAATATTGGAATTCATTCACACCATTCCCAGCATTACCTATTTTTAACCTTCATATCAAAAGCATTCTTTTTGAAAGAATGCTCACTAACATTGTGCTCACATTGCATTTGACTAGTAACAATAGTACTTTACGAATACATACCACTTTGAAATAATATTCTGCGATATTTAAGCTGCATTTATCTCATTCTCAATTTTTAATTGTCATACTATTTCTTATTCTTGTTCCTTATAAAATTTGTGCTTTTAGAAAAATGGAAGTGTATTGATAGAATACAAATGGTAGAATTCGTTATTCATATAGGGAGACAATTTTTTTTTTTCTTTTTTAATACCGCAATCATTGTATTTATACAAATCTTTGCATATTTCGTCGGTATTCATAAATTTTTCTTAACTGTCATAAACTTAATATTCCCGAGAATATATTGCATTCGCAATACTTCACCATTTTTAAAACTTTACAAAACACTTATCCAAGAACACGTTTTTTTAATTTATCTCCCTTTTTACTATTAATTTTACAGATACGTTCATTAGATATACCGATTTGTGAACAAACGAGCGTATTCCACATTTATGACATTGCTTACAATATTACTGCTGGTTTTAGAGTCTATGGTTTCATAACGGTCTTACAGTTAATATTTTAATGTAATTAAGGTATTGTCTATTATAAAGTTATGAGTTTTGTATTGATAGAGGCAGCGGTTACAAAGGGTGCACTGCAATTGCATATTTTTCTTTTCTTTTCTTTTTTTTTTTTCAACTTGTAGTACACACATTCTTGAATTTTGAGATTATTAGTGTTTTCAGTTTCTATAGAATGGAAAAATAAGAGACTTGTCTTTCATGATACAATAATAAATTATACAACACTGACAATTTTTAGAATAAGTTACACCGTGTATTATTACTGCATTATATACATGATGATGTTATAAAAGAAAAAACATAAATAAATAGTAATTCTAAGTAAAACATAATGTAAACGAGTGCAGTACAAATACACGGTACAAATATAATTTTTGATTAATCTAATGATATTAAATCTAATATTTTTCCATTAACAGTATTGACATTCGTATTACTTTTCATTATAATTTAAAATAAATATTAACAATATATTCAAATATGAGAAACGATGTAAGCGTTATAACAGAGAAATGAATTGCATAAATAGTATAATATTTTATATATTATTATTCTTATTATCATTATTATTACTAGTAATAATTATTTTCGAAATTTATTAATTATAAATTCATTAAATTAAACTAGGAAAGAAAAAATCACAGACTAAGCGTTTTAAATAAGTGCTGCTATACATAATTTCGTATATAAAGTCTTTGTCATTAAAAAGTGCAACATATGAATCAAATATACAATACAGAATATAACTGTACACATTGTTCTTCAGCATATAAATACACATAATGTAAAAATGTATTAGATATGATTAAAAGTTAAACATTGAAAAAAAAATATGTTCGTGTTTTACAATGTGTGCTTGAAGATTCAAATGTTGTATCAATTTTCAAACACTATCTTTTAAAATTTTGTCAGTACAAACCTGTCGATAATGTGAAAACAGGCCGATTATGTTAGGAAATAGCTTAGTTCCTTAGAATAATAAAAAGTATATACGAGAAATATTATAGGATCGACAGGAATGTATTGTAGTATTAAGCGTTTTGTTCATGGGAAAAAAAGAATGAAATGATTTCAATCTTTAAAGCAAAAGACTGTTGATACCAAAATTAATTACATAAAAAATGCAGCGATCAATTTTCCTGCCTCTCTTTCGGAAATACAAAAATTTCTCAAGATACGAAAAAGAAAGGAAATGCACGCTTCGTTTCTCTTGTACAAAAATTCGGATAAAAACAAAAAGGGATACATTGCGATTGCTATGTATATTCTCGCTGTATCCATTCTGAAACCAATAACTGATACAAAACCATAGAATACATTAATATATTTAAATGCTACTCTCAGCAGAGTGCTGAGAACGTAATGATGAATAACAACCTTGACAAACTCTAACGGGCTTTAAAATCCCAAGTCTAGATATTTTCGATTCAAATCGGCTGCATCTGTATGTAAAGTATAAAAAAATGTTAACAAAATATTTATATTAATAACATTATGTCATTGTGTCATTATGTAAATAGTAAAATTCTAAGTTTCTAATTTATATAAATAATTTATGGTATCATAGGAACTTACTTCGAGCAAAATACTTGTCCACAATTGCGACAATGGTGTCTCCTCTCATAAAGATTAAATCTAACTCCACAACCAACACATGAATCTGCTCCTTCATCTTTAAGCCAATGATCGGCCACCGTACGTCCCGGTTGTTCACATACACTCCATGAAAAAACTCTTCCTCTCGTATCTCCAACATAGACTGTTCTATGATCTCTGTAATTTAGTTAAAACATTTCATTTAACATTTTTTATATTTTTCAAATGAGATAAGTTATAAATATTTTACCTTGATACTGCGAGAGCCGTTATAGATGCTGGTTCTGCATTATCTTTCCGATCATATGCAGTATGCATCGTTAATTTACTTCTAAATACTAATTGCCGTTGCCATTTAAAACCGTCCCTTAAGATATTTTGTGGATTAATTTTTTTAGGTTTTGTATCAGCTTCAGTAACCATGACGAAACTATCTGTTAGACTAGTATCACTTTTACTAGCTCGTAGAGCTCCTTCAGAATCCCCAGGATTATTAGATGACTCACTATGAAACGATTTCGATATTATAGTAACAATATTTAATAAATGAAAATACATGTTTTAAAAAACATAAGTTGTATTCGAGTACCTTGTTTGAGTACCCTCGCTATCTGCACGTCCGCCACCTTCACTTTTACGAAACATTGGATTTCCACGACTCTTTCTTCGAAGTACAATAGTAGAAGTATTATTATTCTGTGGCGATGGTTTGTTACTGGAACCATTGCTTGATTCGTTATCCGAACATTCTTCTTTCTCTTCATGTAATCTTGATGCTTCTTTAGCATTTTCTGGTTCTGAAAGACTACTTTCTGAACCACTTTTTGCAAGCAAACTTGAACCTTCTGCAGAAATGCTCATCTGTTTAACTAATTCGTGCACTCGCTTTTTCGTATTTTCATTTTGACTTTCATTTTTATTTGACTTCGTGTGTTTTTCTTTGGTAATAATAACTTCCTCTGGTTTCTCTTCTTCTGCAGGCACTTGTACGTAATCCATCGACCACATCTGTAATAGTGTATGTTCTCATTTATGTATTATATAGTTTAGTACAATAAATGATATTATTCTTACACGAGCTACACCATCAGTTGAACCAGTCATAATAACATTCTGTGAATCCCATTCGTGAGTTTGACTGAAAGCAACGCATAAAATTTGCTGCATTCTATCAGCGCGACCAACACATGTATTAACGCTAGCAAGTTCTTCGCCATTAATGCTCCACACATGTAACCAAGTAGCTGCACAAGTAGCTATGTCACCCTATAAAAAATCATATTATGTTTATGTCGTATAAATTTATATTTTGTTTTTATTTAAATTGCAAAACATATTAAACATACTGTTAGTTCATTTATAGCTACTGCAGCCACTGGACCTGCATGTCCGCGAAGTTGACGAACAAATAAGCAACGAGATAAATCCCATATAATTGCAGTACCGTCTCGAGATCCTGACACAATTACATTGTATGCTGGGCTAGACGACAAACACGTAACAGCATCCGTGTGTCCGTACAAACATTGTTTAATAGAAAGTTGTCTTTTGGTATATTCCCACACTGTCACCACCTATTGAAACAATCTTGTGTGGTAAGAAATAGCAAAAACAGAAATTAAATTGAAGCAGTGACTTACGGAACTTGTGCCAGCAGTTACTATCAATTTGGAAGACGGACAAACGCAAGCAACTATTTCACCACCACTCTGTATCATAGCTTCACAAACAAATATTGCTTTGTCGCTGTCATAGTTTCCTATTCTAAGAGAATGATCTGCGAAACCCCACGCTACGTATTTGTTATATGACGGAGGAATAAGCGTTTTATTTTGCTCCACGGCTAAAACTGCTTTATCAACATGAAGTATTTGTCCAACTGGACCTTTCAGTTCTAAAAAAATAAATTACCGATAATAATTCGCAATTCAATAACGTGATTCAATAGCTAAATCTTTATATAACTATATAAACCTTTGATTGGTTGAAGCGACGGCTTCAAGTTATCAAGGTTGTGAAAGAACAATTTGTCAGATGTAGTAATGCTTAAGCCAGGAGTAATAGGCCCTGGATCAATAACACTAGTTCTTTGGGTCATTTTTTTAGCTGGATGTGGTTTTTTAAACAGTTGTTTCGGTATTTGACCAAAATTATTAATAAATCCGATAGTGGCATTCTTCTTCAGAGGATCATCAATGCTAAAGATATAATAAAAATTATAGAAGTCAAGTCATAAAAACATAAATAATAAAAAAGCAGTACAAAATAAATCTTACTTATAAATATCAACATTGCCTTCATAGAATAAATGATGAAAAACATTAACAGCTTCGACTGCAGCAGGGCCATTTTGTTTACAACCAAATATTAAATCGATCCATTGATGAAGATGTTGTGATACGTAATCACATTCTAAAGCAAGCCGGTGCACGCGTATGAATTCTCGAGGATCTTGTTTTGCCCATGGTGGTAATACAATATCTCCCAATTGTACACCACTCTGTTTGGAACCTATAAATAATATATAATGTTAATGTTTATAATCCTATTAATGAAACGTAAAGGTCTAATGAATGTTATTTACCTAAATCAAAATGATTTGAATTAACAAGAAATTCTGGAAGATAAAAAAACTCTGGTATAAGTTCTTTCACATCAGCCATGTTATGTTTAGATGCCGAAAGCCATGCTTCTTTTATGCTATTAAACATTCTATCCGCTAGATCGAAATGTCCACCCTAGAAAGGAATAACTCATAATTCATGTATTGCAATATTAAATAATTTCGTACTTTAAATTGTTAAAAAATTTCTCTGTGTAGACCTGTAATCGAAGAAAATGTTGTGTAAATGGTTCCATCCTCACTAAATATGAACAGACTATCATTGCTGAAGAATAATGAGTTCCATAATGATAAGGAGGTGTTTCTCCGTGTGGATCATCCCATTCTTTATACCTAATTTAAATGTCAATTAATAGTTGATAGTTTATTTGTTTACACTAGTTTATTTAGCTATATTACCTCTTTTTAAACTGTAACAATCGTTCTGGACTTTGTGCACCCATAGGTTTGCTAAAATCTCTAAATGTTGTGGGATCAGTAAGATCCAATTCTTCACTATCATAATCGGCCAAGATCCAAGGAAATATTGGATATTGCATTAAATCATTATAGCTACGACCAGCTAAAGTATTAAGATGCATCAGATACTGAAAATTAGATATTTCGCCTCTCTACAAAATAAATATTTTCATAAATGATTATAATATAAACAACATAAATTTAATATGACTTAAAATACTAACCACCCATCGTTGCGTAACAGATGTTTCACCTATTAGATTCGAAAGCAAACCTGTAGCTTGTTCTACATTTGCTGTTCTCTTTTGACCAGCAACCGATTGTTGCGCACTGTCAGCAATTGCGGTTGCAAATGTCATAAATCTTTGATAAACTTTATTTCTTACTTTACGGGGAAATGCTAATAAATAATTTCTACCATCTCCACTGAATACTTCTAATGCCATTGGTTGTAACAAATATCTTCTTTTATGTACTTCTCTATAGAAAAATGTAAATTGTGATCAATTTTTGCTACGTGAAAATTAGATACAATAATTGCACATTATGTAAAAATTTATTACCGAATATCTTCATAATTAAATTTCGAACATTGCCTCATAGCTCTAGATCTTCTAGGAGAGCCCGGCGATGGTAAAATTGGTTCATAAGCTTCGGGTAAACTCTCAATGTCTCTTATTTCTCTAGATTTTAACAGTGTGAATCCATCAACAACATAAAAATGTTCTTTTCCAAATAACAATAAACCTTCAGTTGTATCTAAACCTTGAATTCTAGCACATCTGAACATGTGACTTATCTAAAAATATAAAAAATGTTTAAATATAGAGTTCATTAATTATTACTTATTTATAGTAAAAGGAAGAAAACTAACTTTTTCGTGTTCCTCTAATAATCGTATTAAAGTCTGATTGTCTGGAACAGTCTGATTATTTTCTTCTTCTTGTTCATTGTCTTCTGGCGCTTCATCAGGTTCACTAGCATGACGTTCTAATGTACAAGGTACCATAGGAGGTTCACTCTCCGTAGAAGCATCATTAACATTCAATGGTGTATCATCAATAACAGGATCACGTTCACGTTCAAACATGCCAGATGAATTGCCAAGTTGCTTTAAATAGTATTCTTTACTATCAGTGCTTGTTGCAACTTTGTACTTCAATTGTTTCTACAAAAAATCGAAACAAGTAAATTATTACTCATCGTTAATATTCAATCCTTTCCTTTTTTTTTTTAATAATGAAACTAACATTATCGGGATGCTCCAATTCAGGTCGGTAAGGATAATGTATGTAAAAAAGCTCATTTTTCATCATCTTTTTCCTCATCCTGCATGGGCCTTCAGTCATATCTAACATCCATTTGTCAAGTCTGGTGGGAGTTGGCGGTCCCCATAAACCACGTTCTCTTGTTAATTCAGTTTCGGTTTGTAACCACTCCTATATAATACAAAATTATTAATACAAATATTGATATTGTTTTTTCTTTTTAATATCCTTACTTGATATACATATCGTTGAGTATGTTGATTAGTTTGTATGTAATGCAAGCGTTTCGCTGTAGCAAGTTCGCGAACCAATGCAATATGTTGTTCTGTCCATTGTGCTACAGTGTTTTGATGTAATCTTAATCTTACGCGTACTGATTCTTCTTTCCGAACTTTTGTTCTACTTGCTAATCTTGTTAAACCTCCTGTTACTTTTTGAATTTTCTGAAACACAATATAATTCTCTGGATATTCTGCTTTATAGAAATTATTATTACAATCTGAAATCAGGTATTTACCGATTGTATTTGATTATGAAGTTCCCATGGAACTCTATACGAAGCTTTTCTTTCCATAACAACATAATTTAACCAAAGCTTAGTTGCAGCATCATGTACCTGATCCCTTACTATCGATAATTCAGGAGCACGTTCATTACCTATAGGTACTGGCAGAGTAATTTTAAAAACTTCTTCTATAGCAGGCTTTTTACATACATATAACTCTTCCCACACTCTTGTAGCAGCAACGGCCATCAGATTATGACCTTGATGAGATGTTAATCTATCATCACTGGCTTCAACTTGTGGATTAACGTGCCATGTTGTTTTCGTATTCGTATCAAGCATAATCTTTATATCAGCTGTCAGTTGTAATAAACAATAAGTTAGACAACCAATAAATTCTAATTCATGATTTCCAGCGCCGAAAACTAACAATCTATTAAAAAATATCTTCAAATTAGATTTCATTTATATTTTGCAAAGATTCTACTTTAGAAAATATGAACTTCACCTGTGGTTGGTAAGTTTATGCAACGCTTCTAACACGGCCATTTGATCAGCTATAGAATCTGTTGCTCGTGATAGTAAAAATAAAATTGTTCTGTTTAAACAATGATGAAGCCCTTCCATACTAACGACACCTGGGCGTCTTTTTGCTTGTCCAATTAACTTTACGATAAAATCAAATACTTCATGCGGATCTTTTGTCAAAGCACCTATATATTAAGTGTGAAAATAATGAATATTTGACTATATAGTTAATATAGTTAATTATATTATAAAATATAGTTAATATAGTTAATTATATTCGACTATATAGTAAATTATATTATAACTATATGGTTAATTACAGTTAATTATAAAAAGCAAGAATCTGTTAATTTACCTTGCCACAATTTATCAACTATTCTAGCAGCCACGTAGCACACATTATTCGTTATATTATTAACTGATCCGCCAGGAACGACAGGTAATGCTGCTTGTTCTCCAATTAAAACATCTGCAGCTAACAGATGCTCCATTAAAATTGATAGAATTTCTGTTTGATAACGTGTTTGTTGTCCTGTAGATGCATGTTCTGGCCATGCTTCCAAGACTAAATCAATTGCTGGTGGAGATTTTGCACTAACAGGCAAAGAAAGTGAATCTACTACAATAACTCGCAAAAAATCCATAACAAATTTTTTTGCTGGATGATTTGTTAAGCCAACATCTTTTGATGGAGATCTTACTAATACTGGCTCTTGCTAAAATAATAAAATCATATTGTTAGTTTTTTTTTCTTAATCTTTTCATTAATTTTTAAATTTTACCTCATCTGCTGGAGTACTAGCTCCACTACTATCTTGACTAGAACTTGCAGGTTTCGGAAATAAAGTACCAGATAAAGCACCCAATACTTCCGCAGACATAAATACTTGCATAAAATCAGTAAAATTGTGATAAAGAAAGAAAAGCAACTGTATTATTGTCACTGGATAATCGCTTAACCAATCAGGTAAACATTCAGGGCTTCAAATAAAAAAATTATATACATTAATATATTACAAAATAATTCTTTGAAAAGAAATAAATGTCAATTATAACTTACTTGATTGAATAATTATTTAACATTGTTCGTACCATCGCTAATAAAGTTACCACGGCTTCAGGACAAAGATTAATTCTGCTCGCAAAAGAGGATAGCGTATGATTTGCAGGAACACCAAACAAGAAATTCCATACATTGTTCAAATCGAGCTGTTATAAAACATACATATTTGTTATATTGTGTGCAACATTTTAAAATACAAAAAAGAATGTAAATGTTACCGAACTTTTAAAATGACTTTTGAATCAGTAGGTAATAATTTTACAGGTTGTCCCATCATAAGAGCAATAAAAAGAAAATATAATTCTGGTACAAGATCTACATGCTGTGGTAACAACCATCCTAAATGTTGAAATCCTGGTACATGAAGGCCAGATGGTTTGGTTTCACCACCAGTCATTTGCTGGTGACAACCTAGAAGTATAAAAATAAGATATACAAAAGTATAAAAATATGAAATACAACTATTCAAAATCGAATAGCTCTTATATACATACCAAGTGCTAATGCCATTTTATTATGGTCTGTATGGCGTAACCAACCACCATTACTAGTTCCTTCTTTAAATTTTTGTAATATTGGTTGTACAGAACAAATAGCTACTAAAATTCGTAATCCCCATATTACAGTAGTACTATGAAGGCCAGATTGAAGAAATAGTAGTATCCAATCCAAACCTAATACTTTGGCTAATTCTTCACACATACTGAAACATATTCAAACAGTAATGAATTTTTATTTACAAATTTACCTTTTTGATGTTACTTACTTTGCATTCACTTTTGGGCCATTAAATAACAGAGAGTGTAAAAGTTGCAAGCAACGATTTCGCAAAAGTATATGCTCTCCTTCTCCTTCCTTATTTCCTTCGCTTTCTCGAAGAATTAAGTGCTTCTCTGAACTTTGAGGTAATGTAGCAACAATAAATTGCCCAAACCTACGAAAAATAATATTATTAATATACATATATAATATAGGCATAGAGTATGTTAAATTACCAAAGTAAGTCAGCTTGTCTTGGTTGGCTTAACAGAATACTAAGTAATGCAAGTAGAATCTGTCTTGTACTACTTTGTTTTACATCGCTTAAAATATGCAGCAATTTATGTACTAATTGTAAATCTCTCATTAAACGTAAATTTGTTCTTTTTTCACTTGATTCTGCTACTAATTCATATAAATGTTCTAGAAGTGACCTTAAAAGTTCACCAGGTGCTTCATGCCAAATCTAAAAACATAATGTTTTAATATTCTTATAATATTAATTCTAAAGATAAATTATTTTTAATAATAATAAGTTATCGTACTTGCAAATCACATAAAAGATCTTGAAATGCCATAACATTAGGTATTGCACTAGTTTCTCTACCACTGTCAACTGTACCAACAAGACTGAATGTAAGATGTAAAATATGACTATTTAAAAGAGGACATTTCCTTCTTAGTAACATCGCTAATGTTTGATATCCTCTTCTGCGATCCATTTCTTGTTGGGCAACTTGATTAGATCTCACAACACAAACTAAGGCTTTAACAGCTGCATACAAAGATTCTACATCTTGAGCCATAGCTATTAAACCTATAAAAATCATTAATTACATTTTTTTCAAATAAATACTATAACAAATACGCACATGTTTAGGTACAAACAAGCAAAAAGATAAAGGAAAAGAAAGCATAATTGATTATCTGATTTTGTCAATCTTTTTTTCTATTCTTTTTGCACGTTTTTCCCCTTATATTGATCAATTTTATTACCCTCCCATCCCAACTCTTTCGCGACTATAAAAAACTATATTATAGTATTGAAATATATCTTAAAATGCAAATTGGTAAAAAATTTTACCTAACAATACTGAACATCCTCCTACATTATCAATCATTGTAGCTACTGGTCGGGGACTAAAGACTCGAACACCAAGATATCCAATAACTACACCACCAAGTGCTCGTGCCGGTCCACTTAGATGTCCTGCTGAATTGTGAAGAACTCTAATAGGAGTAGCATTTTCGTGTGATGGCATACCATGCTGTCAAATAATAAGAATATTTAATTAAAAGGTACAAAAGATACGTTTACACATTGAAATAACAATATATACCTGTTTAGCAATTGATTTATTATCAGCCCGACTATAAACTTTCCTAATTTTAGCTAATGTCAATTGAGACATTGCTTTAGCATTTAATCCAAATACAACCTTTTCTTCTGCAACAAGAGGCATTAAAGGTTCTTGTCCTGTATAAAAAAATTCAATTTCAATTTTTTTTTATTTAAATAAAAATGAACGTATGAACTTTATATTAATACCTGATAACTGTGGAGCTTGCAAGCTGCCCATGTAATGTGGGCCTAATTTAAATAATGCCATTATATTTTGAGAATTAAATACTTCTTCTACTAAATGACACGGCCCTTGCTTCCATGTAAGTCTTGAATATCGTCGCCAAAAAGGTGGTGTACCTATATATCCATATACTGGAGATGCTACTGTTAAATTTGCTGCTCCTCCTCCAGGAATTTGTGTAATGTAATGAAGCTTTTGACTATGAATATGTTGTCCATCCAAATATAATGAGAAACTTGAATTTTTTAAAACAGCACGGTTCAGTACAATAGCTATATGATGCCATTGGCCTTCGTGAAGCAAATCTGGACACCAAACTCTTGCACCACACTCACCAGTACCTTCTGGTTCCCATTCACATATATCTAAAATTTTTATTTAATATGTGACAAGGTAGTTTAAAGAGGAATAAGATATCAATAAGATTTACTTTGTAGCAGTGGTGTTTCTTGTGTAGACACGATAATAGCTTTGTCTCTTGCGCTAAGCACTGCAGTTAAGCAAATTAAATCCCTGGTTGGTTGAGGAATACGAACTAACGTTAACAATCGTACGCAGTGAGAATCAGTTCTAGGATCACTAAATTTATCAACACATATCCATGTACTGTATGTTAAACCAGTTTGAGGAGGAAATAATCTATCGCCTAGAAAATTGATAAATGAATACATATATAAAAGATTCTTTAATACTTGCAGCTTAAAAATATTTAAGATTTACCAGAACCAATTCCACCCAATACGCTACTGTCAGCAGCTACTACTGTAGGTGGAGTTGTACTTTGTGGTGCAACACTAGGTAAATATAGACATGCAAATCCTTCTGTACTCATATCAAGTTCCACGAAGGGTGGTAAAGTACAAGAACCGTGTGCTCGAAAATCTTTTGGAGTTGTCATAGATACTAAAGTTTTAATACGCGTCAATGGTACAGGTCCACCTCGAGGTTTACTTAAGTCAATATCATCGAGTGAAATACAACACAATGGATCACCCAAACGCAAAAATTCTCTGTAATTACAGAAATTTTATAAAACACATATACCAAATAATCAGTATTTTTCTAAAGTTTCCCTTGCATTTTACCTTAAATCACGTGGTTCTAAAGATTGTGCTGCAAGTCTTTCTATAATATATTGTAGTGGTTGATGTAAAGGATGTGTTTCATCTTGCAAAGCTATTCTACCCACGGATAACAATTCACCCGCCATTCCAGCATCACACATTATTTGTTGGTTTCTTTCAGATCGCACTAAACTTTTAATAATTTCAGCGACATATAATTGCAATGCTAATGCCATTTGTGGATTAGATGGTTCTGAAATTGATGGAAGTAAATGTAGCATTCCAACAACTATGCCAGGATGAACTACAATTGGTTCAGGTGTAGGTGGACTCAGATTTAAAGAATTTATAACACTTCTTTTTCCGCTTCCCGGAGAATCGAAAGATTTTTGTTGCTAAAAATAAGATAGATAATATTAATTGTTATGTATTTATATATTATGTATATAATTATATAAATTAAATTTAAAGATCACCTCAACGCTATTTTGCTTATGATTTGGCGATCTCATTCCTAGACCTGCCAAATTTGGTTTATCAAAAGAGTCAAGTGCTACATCATATAGAAGTCGTAACAATAAGCATGCATATGCTAATGTTTTTGGTATAATATCTGAAAATACAGGTTCTAATACGCTTCCAATAAATAGCGTTGACAACATATTATGGTAATTTATAGTTGGTATTATATCTATTTCAATAAGTTTTATCTGTGTTGAGAAACATCCAAGGAGTCGTAAAGTGTCACACAAACTCGATTGACATATCTATAAATAAAATAAATTATATAAATATTTGCAAGACTTATTGTACAAATAATAATATATGATTTATTAATGGTTTACTTCATGATGGAAAAATTTAGCATTTGCTGGTTCAAATCTCATAGCTGTACTTATAGTATGAAATACAACGTGTAAAAGAGTCAGTAATTGTGCTTCTTCTTGTGGTGTTCTCTTTATTATATCATTACATGGTTCTATATTCTCTGACCTTTGTGTGCCTAATTGACTTTCCAAAGATACTAAAACGGACATCACATATACGAATCCTCCTACTTTTCGAAAAACAGTTCTAGTTCGATGAGATTCTCGTAAACAAGCCAATAAAGACTAAAAAATCAAGATATGTTTTAATAATGCTCAAAAGTATAATATTAATTGATAATAATATCATAAACTAACTTTTAATATATGTGTCTTTAATACTAAGGCATTAGAAGGTGCTGAATGCATAACACCTAGTAATGTAGCCATGTCGTCATCTGCTCCTGCACTAAGTATTAATTCTCTAACAATACCAAGTGCTTGATATCGACAATCCATATAGGGCACGAGATTATGAGCACAACGCGCTCCACCACATTCCCTAAAAACATTAGCATTCTGAACATTAGTTGCCAACAATGTCGTCAAAGCTTCCATTACTAAGGCACCCAATCGCTCATCTTCTGGGCAGATTTTATATTCTAAAAAAACAAACAATTTTTATCAATTTAGTGAATTAAGTATATTGAAAATAAAATATGAAAATATTAATACCTAATCCTTGATCTTGTGCAGCTTGCTTATCTTTGAGTAAGGTTGCATAACGATGAAGACATGTAACAAAAACTTCTAACATACCCACTTCTCTGTATACATCTTTAAATATATAATCATGTCTAGAAAGATACATTTTCCAGGATCAATATAAAGTATGTATAATCGAAATATAATTAAAAAGCTCTGTACCTGAGTATATTAAGGAGTGTCTCCATGCATAATATACTGCAACTGGTTGAGTTATTTGTTTTCAATAGTATAGATAAAGATATAAGTTCCTTACAAGGCACAAAATTAAGTTGGAATACTATAAACTCTAATAGCTGAAAGAACTTTTCTTGTATTTCCCGATTTTTTAAGTGAATTTTTTCTGCAAATTGAGATAACGTATTTTGCCCTTCAAGTATAAAATAATTAGCGTTGTCACTATGATATACACTAGATATTGCATCAAGAATTGTACAACATAAGAGTGGGGAATTAGACTTTACAAATACAGACTGTAATACTTGGAATGCTTGAATATTTCTAACACTTCCACCTGTAAAATATATTTTATTCTTAATTATGTTCTGTTAAACGACACTATAATTAAATTATATATATAATTATATGTACCTCTATTACTCGGTTGAGGTAAAATAAAACCAAACATTTGGAACAAAGATCCCATACTAGCTTGACTTGGTTTTAATTCTGTATGGCCACACATTGTTAGAGACGCCAACATAAGTACTAAATTCCGAATGGCATCTTGAGCCTCTGCTCTAGTATCTTGTTCTAATCTTGATGGAGCATGTCTATAGATTAATTAATAATATTGTGAATTAAATTAATTTTATTAAATTAATTTTAATTAATTATAATATCAAATATCATACGAATACGATTAATTTATATAACTAATATTATTAAAATAAAATTCTTACTTTAATAAAAATTCCGATAAAAAGATATATCCTTGACAAGCACGAAAATCGTCCAGAAGTGTTTGAGATACCTCACTAGAATCTTTTAAGAAACAAAATACTGTAACAAACATTTCTACCACTTCCAATGGTGCCAGTTCAGGTACACGTTGCATATTATCAACACATAATGCTATACATCCTTTATCTACAATTAAAAACAACGATATTGTGTGACAAATTTAAAAAACTTATTAGGATTGCAATCAAATCGTAATTTATACTTATACTTACTGTGGATGTACCTTACTACATTTTGGGTAAGTCCATGTCGAGACAAAGTCATTAATACTTCTGCTGCGCTTTTACGCCACATTACATTATAATGAGGACACCAGCTAGTTATTGCTGAGAATAATAAAGTTAAATCATCTTTGCGAGCAAGTTCTTCTGCTGGATACGGATGGCTACATAATCTCACCAATAACTATAAATTAATATTAGATAAATTGTTTAAATAAAGATTTCATTAAAAGTCTAAGTAATATAAAAAATATTTACTTGTACGAATATTTTTTGTAACAATATTCGACGCTGTTTCGGAGTAAATTCGCTACTTGCATCCGTAATATCGGCCTCGTCGTCAATCATTTCAGGCAGATCGAAAAATAGATACAAACATTTTACTAATGTTGATGGAACAGAATCAGTAGTCATTTCCTAGTAAAATATAAGTTTACTAACACATACAGTTTATGTTAACTAAAATAGTGATGTAATTAAAGTATATACCTGTATTACAGAACTATCACCTGCTGCAAGCAAATTTAATGCAGATAGTAACATCCAACCATTACTTGATTCTTCACTATTTTCAATTTCTAAAAATTTTACAATGGCACAACTTGCAGTTTCAGTACTCTGATTGCTTGCCCTTCTACTGATTTCAAATACCATTAACTTAGAGACTTGTTGTGTTAATGGTAAAATGTCCCAAAATTTTTCACTCATATCTCCTGTTGGACTAGATCCAAATACCTAAATATTAATTAAAATTCAAATTATTAATTTAGTTACAAAAAAGGAAAAATTTAATTGAACTCTTATTCATATGATATGGATACTTACTTTGCAAAACAATGGTAACATGTTATATAGTTTATCATTACGTTCAGCCTCAGAAAGGGGATGTGGAGGATAGGTATATTCAAAAAATAGTTTTTTAAGGTGCATAAGACCCAAAGCAGTATGTTGAGAATTTGTACTTCCAGTACAATCATCTAAACCAGTACTGCTAGAACCCATGCCTCCAACGTTAGTACCCCCTCGTAGTTTACGCATTATGTTCATACTTAATATTTGCTAAAAGCACACAAACAACATGTATGAAAATTAGAATATCAAAATTTGATATTAATTTTAAAAGACATATGTCATTAGTATTATTTTAACTTACATCATTTATATTCCAATGAATAGACACATTTTTTTCAAATATCTCTATATATTAATTAAAATTTAAATGAAATCTACATTTTTAACACACAATAAAAATGTTTTTAGCATATAGTGAGGATACGTAAATAATATAAAATATTTTGCAAAATAATAAAAATAATGGAGTTAGAGTGCATTATTGAATCTAATTCTTTGAAACAATTTGTAATGAACTGTGATATTATAAACTAAATATATGCATCTTTATATGTTATATGCTATTCATGAAGTACATAATTGCAATCGTGCATTAATTGTTATGGTATTTATCAATTAGTTATATAAATTTTGAATAAAAATAACTAATCACAATTTTTTTAACTGTTACTATATTGTTACAATAAAAATCCGATTGATCGCAGGAAAACATGTAAAGGAATTTTATACATAATAAACGACGTAATTGTACGTTGATAGTAGCAATATTAAAAATTATAAAACGTTAAGTCTAATACTATTGAATGGAATTGAAAGCAAACATCGTCTAAAAATAGTAAATGAATTTTTCAGTAGAAAGATCAATAATTTGTAAGTGATAATGTATGGTAATAAAATCTGTTTAAGTACTTATCATACTATTTTTCGAAACGTTAACGTATAGGAGAATATATAACGTGAAAATGGCACATTGTTGTGTAAGATAAAATGAAACACCATTTTTTTGCTTATTATACACGTGAAACAATCTTTCGTGTAGATGTCATAACAATTTTTGCACTTTCAATCTGTGACACTACTCTTCATCGAACGCTCAGTTCAATATTTACGTCTATCTCCTGTCAAAATGTCAAGTTACAGTGAAGTTATACCGACTCTCCGTAACCGCCCACGATTCTTACAAATAATATTCAAATATCATCCTGCAGACATGCACCGTATTCATTAACAATTATTCAGTTATTACCTGAAACGCGTTACAAGCCAGAAAATCCTACATTTTCTTTTGGAAAATTGCTCTTTCAGTGAGAGTATTTAATATTTCAGTGGCAGCAGCCATCTTCATATTCGACGATTTCTTCGGTCCACAGCTAACACGATACGTCGATAAGTATCACGTGACTACTACTAATAATCACAATCTATTCACTTTTTGAATCTGTGTTAACCTCATACGTTTATATACAAGAAAAAATTCTTTTATTTAATATTATATTTTACTAAAAAATTAAGGACAAAAGAATTATTAACCTTTAAACCTGTATATTAAATTTCCAAATTCATTAAGTTTCCTAAATATAATCTTATATATTTACATCTAAATATATCTATTTGCATACATTAATTATTAATGAATTCAAATAGAAAAGACAATTTTTGAAAAATTAATTACTTTTTTATTTATTCTCATTATTACATTATATACAAAGTACGTGTATTTAGAAAGTCTTGTGTCAAAATGTAATTGGTTAGAAGAATGTTTCAATGTTAAATATTTCAAAATTTTTAACTTGTTGATGGAAAAAACTCTGAAATTTTTCTTTGTCCAACTTTTTTAGTTGGTGATTTATGTTTATGTGAATGTACAGAGTTTTCACTTAGAATTCCACTTCGAACTGATTCGTGTATACTATCCGCAGGTATTATTGACTGACGACTTTCATTTGTAATTGATTCACTATTGATACAACCATTATCTACATATTGTGAAATAAGCTCTTGCTTTGAATCTAATAATTCTAAACCAGATAATCGATGTTCTTGAATCGTTTTAACCTGCATCGTATCTTTCCATAATAATGATTTTCTTTTTTTCTCTGTACTATCTCTATCGTGAACTTGTCCTTCTTTTTTCTTCATACCATCTTTACTTGGAATTTGTTCTTTCTCTATAGCTTTTCTAACATCGACATATTCTTCATTTGAAATCTCTGTTTTCTTTTTACTTATGTCATCTTCATCAAAAAATTCTTGTATTTTTTCTTCTTCTATTCGTGTATGTTTTTTGATATCAGAATGAAATGATCTTTCCTCTCCATTATTAACACTTTTACTTTTTTTAAATACAACTTCTTTTACCACAGAAAGTTTTGTGTGAATATTTTTACTTAAATGTTGAGTTATTGGTTTCATTTTACTTCGATTATACAAAAAACGATAAAAATCTGAATTCTCTGTTGAAGCAAATTCTTGATATTGCAGCAATAATGAAAAAATATGAGCTAAAAAGAAAATGATATAAATTTGTTTAAATAATTTTATGCATTTTAAATAAATAGTTAAAAAAATAATTTGACCAATACCTATATTTGTTTCATGTTTTACAAAATGCTTGTGCATTTCAGCAATATCATCTCGTAAATTTGTGTCTCCAAAAGTAAAATAAACCATTGATCGACCTGCTACAGCTGCAGCCATTAACTGTAACAAAACTTTTAGTTTTGGATTTCCACGAAATGCGCCACATCCCCAGTTCCCAGTTGCAATAGCTGGTAAGTTATTTTTACTACCTTCACAACCAACAAATCCAACATATGCCTATGAAAAATAAGATTGTTAAATTTCACACAATTAAACAATTGTGTTTATACATAATTATTAATTTTTAACCTTATTAAGTTCTCTTATTATATTATTTATATTAAATTGCATTTGTGAATTCTTAAAATAAAGAGCATCAATCGCAACAATTGATGTTAACCGTCTTCCACTACTATCTTTAGGTGTTTCATCAACATAGTCTCCTATCCATTTAAAACTGTTACTATAACCTTTGTATTTACTGTATCTTTCAACACCACTAACAATTAATGCTTCAGTATCATCTAATTCTTCTGTAACAAGCATTGTTACCATCAATTCAGGACAAATTACAAATCTTATCTCTTCTTGCACACATCCTAGACCAAGGACACCACCACCTACATATCTAGAAAGGTTTTAAATTTTTATAATAACAAATATCAATTTAGTATAATATTAACCATAAAAATATAAAATACTTGTTAGCAAAATCCACTTGCAAAAATCCAGTTCCTTCTGCTTCTATAGTTCCCCTACTTGTAATATGTAAGGGTAATAGAGTTTGTACTTGTTCATCCCATTTTGGACAATCAGATTTAGGAATATAACGCCGTTGTATTGTTACCACACCTTCTGGGGCTGCTCTATGGAAAAATTATAATAAATAATGTATTGATTCTCTTGATATTATATTAAATAAATTTTAACGTATCCACCTTTAGACGTTACCCTCCGAAAATAATGAAATATACATTTCATTTTCTCCATTACAGATTCACACTTCCATTTTCCCTCTTTATACGCTGAAAACAACCTATGTAAATGTATATAATGTATTAAATGTATACAACTATTGAATTAAAATTATAATTATTTTTGCTAGCACTATCATTTACTTTAATTCTGTCAAAAACTGAAACTATATAAGAGAATACCTATTAAAATTGATGTATGGATATCTTCCATATTCAGATTGTGGATCGGTTGAGTTACGTCTTGGAAACGTACAGAAAAATGCATTAGCTAATAAAGAAGCTATTTGTAACTGGCTAAGACTGATTGTGCCATTAGTGTGGCGCTTCAAAAGAGGCACTGAACCAGTTACCAAAACAGGAAGTTGCAAAGCAAGTTGAACCATTTTTGGCATCAAAGTTTCAAAGAAAGTATTTGTTTCTTCTTCATCAAGTACCTTTAGTGAACAATTATTATATAATGAAATATTGAATATATTGAAATACATATTAAAAAAAAAATAATAAGAGAATGAAGAAAAATATATCTGAAAAAATGAAAAGAGAATGCAGAATATATTCTACCTCAGAAAAAAAATGATGCAATGCTGTAAAATCCCAACGTTGTGCATATATATGATTATAAGAAAGTATTGCACTTTCTAACTGCTGAGTTGAAACAAAATTTTGAAGTAATGACTCTTGTATTATTTCCCATCTGTTTCGATTATGTCTGGATCCATTCTGTAATGAGTATTACATTATTTAGAAAGTATAAAATAATATTAAATTTTACATTTATCACCTCTTACTTGCCTCATTTACTAAATACAAATTATGTTTTGAATGTGGCATCCTCACATAATCTTGGCACCATTTTTCTACATGATAAGTAGGATATGGTTTTGGTGTTCCACGAGCCGGTAATGGTAACTGTTTTAAATAATTCTTATGTATATCTTAAAATCTATGTACATGTATTAACAAAAAACATTCATTCATTTAATTCTTACTGATATTAATACTATATGAGACGAAGATGCACAAATAGGTGGTAACTCCTGACAATCATATACGCCTAAACCTTTACGTATCTCATCCATGCTCACACCTTTCCATTCAGGTACATCATCTAAAGGTTCTGGTTCATTAACATCAATAGACATTGAGCTTGCTATGAAATGAAATGAAATTGATCAATCAATTTTAAGAAAAACATAAAATGTTATATGTACAATAGTATACGCGTTTTAATTTTCCTGAATTTCAAATCTTCAAGATTAAATGTATTTAATTAATATCTTACAATCATCGAAATTTACAGGATTATTTGATACGTTATTTACATCGTTGAACATATCTGAGGAAGATGTTTCTTCGTTAAATGACAATTCACGGTCCGACATAATTCTTCAACTGAGAGAATTACAAAAGAAATATAGTAATGGTGAGAAATAATAATAAACAATCAATGAAATGAAATAAAGTTCTTACGTACAAAAATAAAATGACGATGTTTATAAACTATATGACGCGTTTCAAAAATAAAATAATCTTGAAGTAATAATAAATTATCACAATACTGACAAATTGATCTGTAATTTTTTAAAATTTCGTTTCAAGAATTTACAATCATTAAAACCTAAGTTATGCGTATATTGCTTTGGCGCCACAATTCTTCGCGATGACAAACGTATTGCAGGAAAATTAGACACACGGTACATAAACAGAAAATTATATTTAATAATATCAACTAATGTTTCTACGTATATATAAATTGTATTAAAAGTTACATTTGCACTTTACATCTAATTCTTCTCTACACCTCTATAAAACACTATGTAACATTTCGTAAGTGCTTAAATTGCACGAAACACGAAATGTTATGAATATGAATCGTTCGAACGGATTGTTCCGTTTGGGGAAAATCCATTTTTAATAGGGGAAAAGCATTTGTCTTGAATATTTCGAAACTAATGATCAAAATAATTACTTCTATGAAACACAAAATGTAAATTATTCACGTATATCATTTTCATTAGAAATTGTATATATAAACAATTATGTTAGCAATTATACAACATAGTTAAGTTTCTTAAGTACGCATATAAATGTTTATATAGTAAATACATCTTTTATATTTTTTTTATTAGGATACAAATGAAGAATACAAATAAACATAATGTTAAAATCAATTAATTCTTACTAGAAATACGACTATTGATAGAACTATTGATTAACTATTAGCATAAACGAGGAGGTACATGAATAGACATTGTATCTTATGAAATTTCTTGCTCCATGCTCTGAAATACCGACGTAGTAAAAAATTATATGGAGGTTTATTCCTTTAAATAAATATATTACGAGATTTAACAAGAAACTATAACAATAACTATTTATTTTAATTTATGTGTAATAAAATCTTTATGACGACCATTTGCTTTGGTTAATTCTTAACAACTGAGATTATAATGTATTTTCCGCTATTTTATTTTCTTCTTTCTTCATTTGTAATCAATATCGCCACTATTAAACTCGTTTTTAAAAATATGCGCGCTGCCACAGTTAGTGAATTTTAGCGTCCTCTACACTTACAACACTGAATTGGAGAACTATATCTCTATCAAGTAAAATTTCGTCTCTGTTATTAGTATCAGATATTGAAATAGTGGCGCTGTAGTTGCAATGTAAAAGGTTGCATGTCGGGTGGATCGAATAGACGATGTAGAAGTTGAAACTACCATAATTTTTGACGTTTATACCTGTGAAATACTTTGCACGACAAAAGGTGAATGTTCTTTATATCTTTTTAACCGAAATAGAAAGTCTCAAGCTAATTCATCGTGTAAATATTATTGCATGACAGATGGACATTCTTCGTTGAATTCAGTACGGAACGTTATAACGTGAATATTAATTATTGTGCCATTTACTTGTATGCAGTATTTCCCATTGATTAAATCGTTTACTTTCCATATTTACGAAAATTTATGATTCATGTATATATTTGTCGTGCGACAAAAATTGACCTGAAACTGACGTCATAGAACAGAAATCAATAATCGCAGTAAACCCGGTTGAAGTTCCGTTAATAAGTTCCGCGAAACCTGTCAAGGATTTTACAATTTTTGCAATGTAATTAAAACTTATTCACTAAATTTCGAAATATTCTATTAATAATATTCTCGTATATTATTCAGGTATTAATAAAGCTGCACAATGATGTCTGATAGAAAAGCAGAACTTGAAAGAAAAAAAGCCAAACTTCAGGCTATAAGAGAGGAAAAGGAAAGACGTAGAAGAGAAAAAGAACAGAAAGATGTAAGAAATTTTTATTTAAATTTAACGTTTTTCATTCTTTTATGTGTTTATTTAAACTTTTGTATTAAAGGTTGAGGAAGCTACTGTACGTGCTGCAGGAGCAGATAAAGATCATCGGAAAGAATTGGATGCTATGCTTTCATCATTGGGTGTAGCACCAGTGTCAGGTAAATATTGTATTTTGATTTTATAGTTGCATTACTTTTGTAGATGTTATTTTAAAACAATTTATTTTATTCACAGATGTCTTGTCCAGTTTATCTAGTATGAATTCTTTGACTCCAGAACAAAGTGCTAATGCTACCCCTGATGCTAGTTTACAACCATCGAGTATAAATTCTGCTCAAAGGTATTTGTATTGTA